AAATAATGGCAAGAGAAAAGTGTGTTTCAGAAGTTCAACTCAAATGTCAGCTAAAACAAGAGCAGAGTCACTCTCCCAAGAACTGAAATCCACCTGCCTCTGACACAGAGGGGTGATGTTCCTCTACTAGTACTTTAAATACCATAATTTCTCAGATGTAGACCAAGGTGAGTGATGGTTTGTCTCCTAGCCTGTTCTAAAACTGCAATATTCATCCTCATGGCATGCCAGGTATTTGCCACCAGCGTGGAAAGTTGGAATTTAGCCCTGATATCGCTGCTGAGAAGATACATCTCATACTACATGGGCTTAGCTGTGAAAGCAAGGTGACCATACATAAAGTTCTCCTGTGAATCACAACAGTATGTAAAGCTGTGCCATCAGAAAACATCTGTTGGGACTTTAGGAATAATTTGATGTTACTGTTTGCTTCCATCAAATCTGGTGTCACGGGATCACTTTGCCCAGCTTCTGCTCCTATCTGCAAACTCCTGTGATAACTCTATTTCCCAAAACTGTCACTAGCTGCTACACATAACCACACATTTCCTCTTCTGTTCAGACTACTGGGGAATTCATTGACTTAGAATCACAGAATCCTTAAGGCTGGAAAAGACCTCCAAGATCATTGAGTCCAACCTTTGACCGAACACCTCCATGCCAACTAAACCATAGCACCAAGTGCCACATCCAGTCGTTTCTTGAACACCTCCAGGGATGGTGACTCCGCCACCTCCCTGGGCAGTCCATTCCAATGTTTAACCACCCTTTTAGTGAAAATATTCTTCCTGTACCTCCCCTGGCACAGCTTGAGGCTATGTCCTCTTGTCCTGTCACCAGTAGCCTGGGAAAAGAGACCGACCCCCACCTTGCTGCAACTTCCTTTCAGGTAGTTGTAGAGAGCAATAAGGTCACCCCTGAGCATCCTTTTCTCCAGGTTAAACTACCCCAGCTCCCTCAGCTGCTCCTCACACGACACTCTCCAGACCCTTCACCAGCTCCATTGCCCTTCCCTGGACTTGCTCCAGCACCTTGGTGTCTTTTCTTGTAGTGAGAGGCCCAAAGCTGGACACAGTACTCGAGGTGTGGCCTCACCACTGCAAAGTACAGGGGGACAATCACTGCCCTGGTCCTGCTGGCCACACTATTTCTGATACAGACCAGGATGCCATTGGCCTTCTTGATCACCTGGGCACACTGCTGGCTCATGTTCAGCAGTTGTCAACCAGTGCTGGGCCACTTTTCCAACTACTCTCCCCCAGCCTGTAGCGCTACGTGGGGTTGTTGAGACCCAAGCGTGGGACCCGGCACTTGGACTTGTTGAACTTCATACAACTGGCCTCAGCCCATCGATCAAGCCTGTCCAGATCCCTCTGCAGAGCCCTCTTGCCCTCCAGCAGATCAACACTCCCACACAATTTGGTGTCATCTGTTCACTACCGAGGGTGGACTTCATCGATCCCCTCATCCAGATCATCGATAAAGATATTAAACTGGTCTTCAAACCTTAAAGCAGGGTTCTTGGTAAAATTAAATTCCGTTGCAAAATATGTATGACATAAAATAAACTGAGAGATAGCAAGTTCAGGTGCATGCCACAATTATCCTTACACTCTTGGAAAGGCATTCTGTCACATTTAACCCACATGATACAGGGACTCATGATATAGATAATAATACAAATAATTAAAGCAATGACATAAATAAGCACAGTCTGCTTATCTCCCAGGCAAAACTAGAAGAAAATCTAGCTATATTCAAACATTGTGTCAGCAACTGCTTCCTTTTTTAAAACTTTCTAACCCTTTCACACGTAATTGCATTGTAACCCAAAGATTCCCATGTACATCTGAACAAATAACAGAATTTACTCAGCTCACTTATGGCATCACCATGTTTAATCATTTCTAGTAATGAGCTTCGTATGACAGAAGCCAGGTTGCCTTAGAAAAACTGATGTGTTTATTATCCATATTTCCTATGTATATGTTTTTACTTCATAAGTATTCCCTTATCTCTGTTTATCAGAAGCTGGAAGTCACCTAAAGTTGACACCCTGAACTGACATAAACTAATACTGACCTTAACTTTGCATTATTAAAAAGGTTTATAAATAAAACCCTGTATCAATCAGCTTGAGAAAAATACTTTGTTAAAAAAGAAGCCAAGATGTACTTTTAAAGTGTGGAAAAGAACATGAGATTAAATCAGGTCTTTTTGCACAAAACCCCAGGAAAAAGCAATTTCTATTCAGAGGTTTTAAAGAACATTCAACCCTATTCAAGTCTTGCTTATACATCTTTACATCACTCTATCACTACAGAGCTCGAATTTTTGAGCACTTTATATTATACAAGGTCAAAAGTACACTCCATAGAATTTCTGGGAAATGTCTCCATCATAGATCTCTGTAAAAATTCTGTGTAGAAATGGATCCTCTGGAACAAACTGCCAGCTCTTTCTTAGTTTGGCAGCTTGATCTAAACCCCATTTCAGGAAATCATTCTTTATCTAATTAATACACCTCAAACTCACCTTCTCTGAGAACTCGTACAGGTATACATAGAAATGGATATTTATGCAGGCAGCACTTGAAGGAGGAAGAAAGGTTATTTACTAATAGCTGCATTACTTTGATCATACAGATTTATATTCTTCACTTCCTCTCTCCTTCAGAGAGACAGGAACTGCAAGGACCAGGCCACAACTGCTCAGCGGATATTTTCACGGAACATTTGTTTTTTCAAGAGGGTATCTGCCCCCTACTCGCTTCCTTCCACCGAGTTCTACTTTCCCGCTCCAGTAAGGGAGATGCAGTACACAACCTGCATGAGAAGCATGAGCACCTGCCTACACAGGGAAAAGAGGCATACAGACCTCCAGCTGTGTCCTTAGGCCACTACAGTTCTGCCAAGTAACCCTCTGTAAGGAGTCTGCTTGGGAATAAAAGTGGCTTCTTTCTGATACAGTTACTCTGATGTATACCAGACTCACTTTTATTTTAAAATAACCTATGTAATAACCCAGAGCAATGAAAAGGGCATAGCTGTTGTAGTAGAGCTACATTGCTACAGTTCTGCCATCTCAGGTTGCTCATGGGACAAGTCAACTTCACGTATTGCAAAGCAGTACTTTTCTCTAAAACTACAAAGAAGGATGCTGTATCACCAGAATACACTCTTATTTCTCTCATTAACATGAGTGAGCTGCACCACAGGCCGCCCTCACTCATGCAGATGTGGCTCGGGCCTTGGTTGGGAACACCACCTTGCCTGGGAGCACTGTCAGTCAAATGAGAGTCAAGACGTGAGTTAAAGGAACCACTAAGCTTCCAAAATGCACTTGAGGGGAAAGAGTCTTTATGTCTACTAAATAATTTATCTGATGTACCATTTATCTATGCCAAACTCCTATTCAGTTCAGTGTGGACTGTGTAAGAGTTCAAATGTAAATATGGAGAGACTCATTTTGTTTGGTGAAAAACAAACGGGGGGTGAACAGGAACAGGGCCTAGTTGGTTTAGAGATGCTAGTACACATCAGCACACATCCATGCAATACTTCTTTCCCTTTCTCCTTGCTAAGGGAGCTCTTTGGGTACAAGCCAATTTTTTCTCTAAATACACCTCTGACTCTATTTATCCAGCTGCCCTTTACCCCCAAGTCTGTGGCAGTAGCTGCACCCTCACTTCAGTCACCTCTGAGGGCTTCCCCTCCTTCCTCTCCTCCAGCTCCCTCTTCCCACCTGTGGGGCTCTGCAGCACCTCCTCTCAGCGTTCTCGGCCTCTACCCTGGGCTCGGGTTCTCTGGGCTTCCAACGTTTTTCTTCCCAAATCCATTTCCCCCCTGCTCACACTGGGCTGGCCTTTCCCTTTTTGGTTGGCTTCTGGTCAAGCAGGTGCTCTCTTGCCACCAAGCAAAGTACTCGGCTCATCCCACTCTTCCCACACACAGGTCCCCCGTTCTCGGCACACCAGGGCGATTCTCACCCCTCCACATCCCGCTCCCTCCCACTTTTAGAAACGGCCTCCATGCCGCCATTAACAACAGGTTGTACTTTGGTTATCACGGTCAGAACCAAGCCGTGAGTGTCACCGCGCTCACAGACACCGAGGGGTCTGAGAACCCACGGCAACTCCGGTGGCAGTAACTACTCCGCAGCTCCGCTGGAAAAAGCCACCGGGAGCTGAGGGCACCTCCCGCCGTCGATGCCCGCCCCGCGCTTGGCCCCACGCCTCTGGAACCTTCCCTGGCGTTCGGGGATGAGTTATAGGGGCAATGGGCGGGCACGGGCGAGCAGACCCAGAGCCGAGCGCCGAGGGAGCCCTGCCCCGGGCGCCTCGGCCGTCGGGGGCGCAGGACCCACCTACGACGCTCGCCTTCCACCGGGCACCGCCGCGGCTCCACCGGTTCCCGCCGAGACAGGGGAGCGGGAAGGCGCCCGCCTCCTCCCTCCCTCCCTCCGGGAGGCCCGGCTCCCGTTCCACCGGGAGAAAAGGGGCAGCCGGACCCCCTTTGGGTGGGGGGGATATCTCTGTGGGGCGGGGCGTGCCGCCTGCCCCGCGCCCCCGCCGCGCCCCCGCGCCGCTCCCTCCCGGCGGGCGCGGCCCCTCCGCCGCTCCCGCTTCCCGGCGGGCGGCACGCGCGGCCGGTGGATGCCGCCGGGTGACGTGCAGGGCGCGCGGTGGCAGCACCTCCCCGCGCGCCGCTTAAAAAGAAGAAGAAAAGAGGGAGCGAAACATGAGAGCCCGGGCGAGCCGCAGCCGCCGCCGGCAGCAGCAGCAGCAGCAGCGGAGGGGGCATCGCCCGGCCCGGCCGCCGCCGCAGTCCCGCCGCGGGGACACCCTTCCTATGGGACGACAAGTGAAGGGCTGCTGCTGCCGCCGCCCGCTGCCCGGCCCGCCCCGAGCCTCGGCGCCTCGGCGCGGCAGCGGCAGCTGCTAAAACCTGTGCCGCTCGCACAACTTCGCCGGCTTCGAGCATCCTCCCGCCGGGGGCTCGGGGGGCTCGGTCCCCCGCTCCTGCCTCTTCGCGTCCGCCTTTTTGGAAGAAGCGAGGGGTGGCCGAGGTGCTGTTCCTCCGTCGGCTTTTTAACCGCTACTGTTATTATTCTCCTCCAGACTTTCCCCTTCTGGGGGAGGGAGGTGGTTTCCTGATCTGAAGTGCAAAGAAAAGTCAGTGGGATTCCCCTCCTTCCTTCTCCCCCCACCCACCCCCCCCCATCCCCGGTTTGGGTGCATTCACACGCTCCCTCAGGCATGATGCTCAAGATGCTGCCGTTTAAGCTGCTGCTGGTGGCCGTGGTTCTGTGCTTCTTCGAGGGGGATGCCAAGTTTGGGGAGAGCGGCGCCCGGAGGAGAAGGTGCCTCAACGGGACCCCGCCGCGGCGGCTGAAGAAGCGGGACCGGCGGGTGCTGTCCCCGGAGGCCCCGGGCGGCGGGGAGGCGATGTGCCGCGGCCTCTACCCACGCCTGTCCTGCTGCTCCCGCTCCGAGCCGCAGGGGCTGCCGCACGCCGAAGCGAAGGTAGGCACCACCTGGGGCTGCGCTGCGCTGTGGCTGGGGGGAGGTTTTTGGAGTTGTTTCCCTATTTTTTGCGTGGAGCCACGCACCGGCCGCGAACCTGCTGCGTTTCCCACGCGGGTGGGGGCGATGCCGCGGCGGGGGGCGACCGGTCCTGCCCGGGGGGCGAGGGCGCGGCAGGGACGTGGTCCTGGCGCGGGGCTGCTTCGTCGGGAGGCGCGGGGAGCGCGGCAGGTCCGCGCCCTGGAGGGGACGGGCGCCCCGCGGGGGGAGCGCGGTGCCGGCCGGCGGCTCTGCCTGCGAGTTACTTCTTGTCCGCAGCGCCGGAGTTTCTGGCGGTGGCCCCGGCCCCGTCCCGGTGCAGCGGGGCCGGGCCGCCCGCAGGTACCGCTGCCCGGGCGCGGCTGCGGGGAAGGGCGGAGGAGCCGGGCGGGCTCCGGCCGCCGCCCGGGCAGCGGCAGCGGAGGGGGCTCTGCCTTCGCCCGGCGGTGCCATCCGGCTTGGCTTTTTTTCTGGGACGCAGACTCGTGTCCAGTTTGCTCCGCAGGAGCAAAGTTAGGAGGGGTTTTGGATTGCGGCTGGTGCCGGTGTAGCAACACTCTGTGATCTCCAGCCGCCTCGGGGCCCGGGTGGTACTCACAGTTACAGGTACCAGCGGCGAAAGACCCCCGAAGTCTCCGCTGCAGGACTCCGGTCTCACGGCTCTCGCTCAGGACCGGTGCCTCGCACCAGGTGCCGTGAGACACTCTGCCTTTTCACATTACCTGGCAGCCTCTCTGCCCAATTTCAAGCTGCGGTCATGTGAAGGGAAGCACCTCCTCTGCCCACCGATTTCTTAAAATCGTCAAGTTCTCTGCATCCTTTAGCAAGTTAAATTCTGCTTATCAGCCTGTTGCTTAGATTTTCAAATGCGTGGGTACCTAACCCGGCAGGACTGTGTTTGATAAACTCTGCTATGATGGCCAGTGCTGCATCCAGGGGTACGCACAGGGAGGGAAGTTGCTGAATAATGTCATTAAGAGTCACTGCACGTGAAATAAACAATCAGGTGTCTCTTTTTTTTAATTATTATTATTATTATTCCTTTTCTTTCTTTCTTTTTTTTTTCCCCTATTTCATCCTGGTTTAGGTTTAATTAAGAATTCCTGAGTTACAACTCTGTAGTTGTCAAGGTCTGAGAGACTCTTGGAAAACTTGTGTTTCAGTCTTGCTGGCCCAAGCATAATAAAAAAAAAAAAATACCCAGCCTGAATCGAATTTTTATGCTCAGTTCACGGTAGATTTCACTCCATTCTCATGTAAACAGCTTCTACGAATCAACATATGTGTCTGGGTGGTATCTCTCACTTTGTTTTGTAACAAAAAGCCATATTGCATCATTTAATTTGCTCAAGTCATGCAAATAGGAAAAAATCAATAGGACAAAAAGGGGTCGACTTATCCTCCTCCCCACTAAACTGCTGCCCACACACAGAGTCCTGTTGCTTATGGCAAAAGAATAACAACAACACCATTGTGTTTGTTAGTTGGTTCACTAATGGGTGAAACTGGAGAACATCATTCTCCTTCAGTCCCCAGCTCTGTCCAAATGTTCATGCCTTTTGAGGGAGCATTTGTCCTACCCCCTCTATTCCCAGATGAGTGAGAACTGTCTTACTGCAGGTTTTCAGCTGCAGATCTCTCTTTATTCATACCATATGCAGCAGCAGTTTGAGATTCAAGGCAGATATATTTCTTCATGTTGTCTAGAGACAGTGTCATTAAGCTCCTGTGTGATAATTGAATTAAACTATAAACTAACCACACACAGATAACCTGAAAGATCTAGCTGAGAAAAAGAGAAAGGAAAAAAAAAAAGAAAAAAAAAGGAATCAAGACTGGAAAATATGTCCTTAATTCACCCTGTTTACAATGTCTCGGTGGCATATATGCTACTGGGATTATTCAATGCCTGGAGACCCTTGTGGTAACTGGTTGAATGCAGTAAACTGGAAGTTCAATTTTGGTTAGTTTTTCATCTCAATGCTGTTGAAGGGTTTATTCTCTTCTTACTATTCCTTAAAAAAAAAAAAATCTTTTAATTCCTTTTGAGTGTAGGTTTTTCTTTTACTAACAGTACTAAAAACCTGACATAAGTGTAAGGAAGTGACCTTATATGCCACAGTATCTATTTCTGAGCTGTCGAACCTGTTTATTTGGGCTTTTTATTGGTTGTGGGGTTTTTTGGTTTTTGTTTTTTGTTTGTTTTTTTTTTTTTTTAATATAGATTACACTTTTTAAGGAATATTATTTTACAGGGTTGTAAAATCAGACTTTTTTCACTAAAGATTAATGCTTATGAAACTCATAAATCTGCTTTATCATATCAATATATATTTAGAAAAAATGTCAAAGTATATGTCATTCACACTTGACAGAATGAGATGGTCATTCTGTAAAAGACATGGCAAAGTATTATGGGACACATTTGAATGTAAGTTTTCTAAAAGCACATTTTTAAACTGCGTTATACCACAGTTCCAAATCCAGCTTTTTTAAACTCCATAATATACCTACATGATGGAGTGGCTATGCCACTAACAGAAACTTAAATGCTACCATCTTAAAAGAAAAAAAAAATTAATTAATTGAGCATGCTCAGTAGACATTCTCATAAGAGCTTCTTGGTCAAGATTCTGGGTCTTCAAGAATTTTTGATCAAAGTATTGATCTGTGCTTATAATGAAAAGACCACCATTGCCTGCTGCTTTGGGAAGAAAATGGAGCTACCGTAATAAGCAGATACAACATTGCACTGGCTCAAGTACAATATTTGCATCCTGTTGACATTTAACTCTGTCTTTTATTTTTCTGCAATATCCCCTTGTTTTTGAAGGGCTGCTACATCCCAGTCAAACATTGGAATATCGGTTTTTCTAAAAGTTTGCTTGCAGCCTGACAGGCAAAGAAGTCCTCTCTACCTTGGATGGTTTCACAGCCAAGGCTGTCAAGGAATGGGTGAAAAGTAATTGTTTTCAAGTGTGCCCTTTTACAATCATTTGTTTGCTCTGGCTCTTTCATGAACAAAGGCTATTGTTGAACACATCCAACTAAACAAATAACTCATCCTGGGGTCCCTTTAACAGCTGCCTTAGTACAATGATCTATTTAAATATTACCCTAAAATTGAAACCGAACTCTTTAATGACATAATCCAGCACTATAATACAGAAGAGGCATATGTTCAACTCAACAGCTGAACAATCTCGTCAGCACATGATTTTTAGACATAAATGCTTGTATATCAAATATGGCTTAATGCAATGACTTATTTCACTGGGTTTTTTTCTGTTAGCATCAAAATTATACTGCCTTTCTCCAACTAGATATGACAGAGTACACAAAACAGATGACAATATTAATCATAAAGATTTTCTGTCTATTGTGTCATCTTCTGTTTCTTCTTTGCACTCTTCCTTTTGTTGATAAACCACTTTAGTATGCTATGTTTTCCTGTGCATTCCAAGATTTATCTTACCTTTAGTCTACCCATTTTACTTTCATGTGGCTAGAGATTAAAGGATGATCTTACAGATGTTGTAAATTAGTCAGCAGCAGGCATAATCATTATTAGGCATGTTGCAATAAATGTTTGGAAGTTTTACATATTTTCCAGAGCACAGTTAGTTTAAACCACTGCAGTTTGATGGTTTCACATACAACTTTCAAAATTGAAGAAGGAAATTAGTTTACATTTCTTCAAAAGACCAAAGCCATTGTCAACTTTAAGGTCACTTTCAAAGTAGACATCCAAAAAGCTTAATTCAAATAAGTGTTTCAGAATTCGCTTAAAACTGTTTTAATATACTCCAGGATAAATACATTATGGATTTACTGAAATTCAGAAGAGAGAGGTTGTCCTATCTCCAAGCCAGGACAGAGTTACACATCAGACCTCACACAGAGGAAATGTTACCACCCTATTTTGCTTGAGCATTCTAAAAGTTAAGTAACATTGTACTTGATTTTCAGATAATTGATTGACTCTCTTTCCTTAATCTTCCGATTAGCTATTATATGACCACGATTCATTCCAGAAATGACATGAGGGGGTGAATTCCTGTGGTTAATTCCTGGATAGCAGCTGCTCAGGGGGATTAGGATCCTTTTGTCTTAACTTTGAGGACTGAAATGTTGGCAAGCCTGTATCACCAGGCAACGTCAATTACGTTTTCCACAAGAAACAGTAAATTAGCTTTGCTATCCTGTAATTTATTTCCCCTCCCCCTTCCCCCTCCCTCCATACACAATGTGTTCTGGAGTCTTCCAGTAGAAGTACAGTTTTCTATCTGCATCACTGTGGAGTTAATTCAATAAGCACACTGAATAATTACCTAGTAATACCTTGTGTTTACTTGTACTTCTAAACACACTGTCATAGTGCTACCACAAGAAAGCTTACTGCCTGAGATGAGCTCCCTGATGAAAACATCTGAGACTTCTGCAAACCAGGTGATACTACTGAATGTAGGCAAGTACTTTGAAGGGGTCTGTACTCAAGGTACAGTTTCCTTTGGTGGAAACACCCAAATGGGCCATTTCTTCCTTACTTCAGGAGAGAAGTGACATAATGTTCTTTAAAAGTAGCATTTATGGATAGTGCTTTTAGTCATCCACTGTTGGCTTCAGACTTTGTTCTATTTGGCAGACAATGACCTGAATGAATTATACAGGCCCCTTCCCATCAAAATCACAGCATCCCTTAATAAAGTGCAGCTCATGCAGAAGATTACCTCAGCAGCATGGATTACTGCAAGCATGTCAAGTCTATGTTTTACTACCTGGACTGCAGTCCTAGGCAGTATTAAGTTGAGCTCAAAGTTTTAGTTGTTATGTATTTTGGTTATAGTTTATTGTGGTTCTCATTGTGTTTTTAGTTCTTGACTTCAGTGCATTTCCCTCCACATTTACCATATCTAGAACAACATACAAAACTCAAGAAGACTAAGGCTAACAGTTGCAATGCTATGGCTCAAATGAGCAATCTAGCAAAAAGAAACTAAACTTTTTCAGGAGAGAAGAGCCTGCAGCCATGGAAAGAATTCCCCAAAGAATTCAGGACCAATGCAAACCTTCTGCCATACATGCAACATGCAATTAATTGATTACTGTCCTAAAGGTGTTTTTTTTTTTTAAAAAAAAGATAGAGAGAGAGAAGACAAACCCTTTCCAAAATATGTGAGACAGTTACATTCTCAAGAAGGGTCTGAAGAGAGATAATAAACAATATGTGGGGCAGATGTTAATCACATTACTGAATTGCAGGTGCTATGAAGCTGAGGATAGTGTGAGAACAGATAGTGTCAAGGACAGAACATTTATTGCATGTAATGATCCTGGCAGATCTGGAGGAATTATTTTTGATGCCAGTGGCAGCACATCGAGAATAAGGATAGAAACCAAACGGTGTTCTTATCAGGGTCCCAACTTACAACATTAAACTTTAGTACACATTTCAGATGGCCTTTTGATGATATATGTATGGTAAGACTAAATTTTCCTGGGAAGAGTTTGCCTTCTAAATCAAGGTCGTTTTAACCAGAATTTCATTTAAATGTACAGGCTGTACATATATTGTGTAATATTTTGAATACCTAGCTGTTGAAAACAACAGAAAGTGCATTTCTCTCAAGCTTTTGAAATTCATGTAGTTATGATCTGTAAATAAAAAGATGAGTTCAGAACTATGTTATCAAAGTACAGCATCCAAGAAGAGAACAGATGTAGGAGACAGCATACTCATATCAGGAGTCTTCCTGCATTGAATAACTTACTTTTTCAGAAGTAAATTAGATAATTCCCCTTTAATGTTATGTTGCAAGAGAATGACATTGGAAAGTCCTTCTACAAATCAACTCAGAGATATGAGCTATAGCAAAACTAGCAATGTTTTCAAACTGCTATTTACAAATATTTACAAATTTTACAAACACAAATATTTGCCACATTAATATTTCTTAACCTAAGTGTCTTACAGTCCTTGTTTATAACTCTGTTAAATAACTGGCAGAAGGAACCTGAGCTTTGTTTTTGCATTGGATCAGATTCAGTCGATCTCAACAGAGGGAACACATTTCCCACTACCCACCATTGGGATGAATGATCAAAAAACAATCCATGTGGTTAACAATAGATTAACAAAGTGCACTGCATTCAAAAGCTAATAAAGACAACTATGCTGTTTTCCATTATTTTTCACGATTTGATGACATTGCGCTCCTTAGGCTCCTGTGTTTACTTAAACACATCATCAGTCGTGGTTTCATGCTTCTTCAAGTGCTATGCATACATAATATATGCTCTTTTTTTCAGGACAAAGTTACAGATTCAATATTGATGCAAACAAGATGTTACAAATTCTACTCTTTCACTTGTAGAAAGATATGTCTGAAAACACACAGGTTTTCCCGCCTCCAAGTAGTTTGCACTAGAGAGAGCAAAAAGCAGAGCAGCATTTAAAGCATGAAAAATCCACGGCACCTGCTCAATTCCACAGCAGTCATTTCAGTAGCCAGGCAGTGGTGTCGTTCAAGATACACCTATTTTACACATACCTAGACATGTTTTTCCTGATGTGTTTTGATGGTAGAACTTTAATTTTTAGCCTCTAAACACCTTACAAGTTAGATCTGGAGGTATGTCTCATAAGAGAAGTGGATAAAAGGCCTGCTGCTATAACTCCTCCTTATACACATATCTTTCTAGTTGAGAGATTGCCTGAGTCTTTAAAATAACTTCAGTGCTGTTATTCTTATCTGAGAAGCAAGCTCAGATAAGAAATCCTATAGAATCTTATATAAGGTTCTTATAGAATCTTATGTAAGAAATCAGAGAAATGAAAATCTCTCACCGTACTAATGGCATATTGCACATTTCATAGTAATTTCATTTGCACTTGAAACAAAATGCATTGATACTAACTGTATTTGTCCCACTAGCATTGTTTATTACATTAGGTCATGCAATCTTGCTTTGTGTAAGATGGGGGAACAGGTCATGTGTTTATTTGTCTCTGGTTTGTGGCTTGCAGATACTTTCTGTTACCAACAACACAGAATGTGCGAAGCTACTGGAGGAAATCAAATGTGCACACTGCTCACCTCACGCTCAGAACCTATTCCACTCACCTGAGAAAGGGGAAACAGCTGAAAGAGAACTAACTCTTCCCTACCTGTGCAGAGACTATTGTAAAGAATTCTATTATACTTGCAGAGGTCACATACCAGGTAAAACCTATAACAAAATACGGGGCTAAAAGATGTCTGTTTTGATATGTTGATATTGCCTGAGCGGTTATAGATCCGGCTTTTAATTGGGAAAAATTCCCATTTATATTCAGGGGACTTTGCCCAAGCAAAGACAGAATGTTTCAGTCTTCACAGTGGATCTTAGGTGGGGAGGTAAATATTTTGAGCACTTTCTTGCCACCCTCCTGTTAAACTCTCCATGACACACACGTGGCTTGATTGTTGTCAAAGGCACCTCAAACTTTTTACCTTTGCTGAAATATTTGCCTGTTAATTCAAATCATGCAAACAAACAGTTGGCCATCCAAAAGGCTATTCTAAACAATAGATTGCTCTAAAATGCAAGAAATAAAAGGTCCTGGCTGTTTGTTTTAGACTCTAAAAGCTGATGAGTAAAGTGTTTTTTTCTGGTTTTGTTACCCTAGAAACTGATGTTTTTTTCCACACGGTTTAAAGCCCATTGAAATCAAAGGGAACTGTTTGATAGACTTCTGTGATCTTTGAATCACTTCCAACGTGCTGTTAACGACCAAATTCTTAACTAACCTAACACTTCCTCACTGTAGTCAGTAGAGTTAGCTGGACATAACCAAAAGCAGAATTTACCCTGCCTTGTCTAAGGCAGTCACCAAATGTGTGCTATCACTTGTAACTGTATCAACAAAATAACCGCAGAAGACGGTTCTTTTAGAAACACTGTCTTAATACACTATTACGTTAAATAACATCTTTGGTATTCTCAATAGTAAATTATTTATATGTTTAAGACTGTCATTTTTAAACTATGCTTTTTTCGCCGTCCAAACACTACTTACAAACAATGCCACACAGGAGAAAATAATTAAATTGATTGAGATTTCTTTTGAGATTTCTTTTTTGTTGTTGTTGGTTTTTTGGGGTTTTTTTTTTTTTTTTTACTAGCAGACTGGAAAAAAGAGTTGATAATGAGACGAAAAATGAATTTGTGAATAGTCATTTTTTATATATGAACACATCTCTGTAATAGAATATAAACATGTTTGAGTAAAGGGGATAGTTTAAGTGCATGGGATTTGGAGGAGGGTTCTTTAATTGCATGTGTACAGTGTGTACTTGTTTTCTCTGAAATCCCAAGAGCACAGGAGTTTTTTTGCAGTGTTCTTTTATTGACTTGGGAAAATATTTTGAATTGACTTACATTTTCCCTTTACTGTGGTTTAACATGTATCTCAACCCATTCAAATATGAAAATATTATTATTGTCTTTATAAACTAAGAGATGTTTCTAAGGCTTTCTTAAGCCAGCTGTTTCTTGCTCTTTATCACATTCCCCAAAGCAAAGCAGAATAGATCATAGTTGCCAAGACTGCCTGCTGAACAGCGATAACAGATTAGATATTCTAAATGTTTGGCCCATATAAGAAGTCCACACAAAGACATTTTTGACATGAGTTTGTAGCTAGTGCAAATGATTATCATATTCTGCAGAGCAAGACCCTCATAGTTGTTTTGTGAAACTCTGTGTTTATGAGGAAACAATTTGTTTAATTGAAAAAAGTGAAAGAGGGAAAAGGGAGAAAGAATGAGGAGGTGGAGGGAGGGAGAGAGAATGAGAAAGGGCTGAGCAGCACAGGAGCTGTAGCCACAGGAACCTCACTCCTCAGATCAACATATGCAGTGACGAATGACAAATTTATTTTTCTACAAAGTTTGTGTATATGTAAAACTGCTGAAGTGCATCAAGATGTCAAGTGCTTTTTGTGACCACCCAGGTTGTCTTGAAAGATAACCAGATGAAAGCATAACTTTAGCACTGGGCAGAGCACTGTGCTTTGCAGGAAAAGAGCTTACATACTTCAGCATCAGTTAAAATAGGATTTTTCCTACATCAATCAGATGCTAATAATCATTCTAAATACTTGTTCTGAAAGTAGGTTGTGCTAACAAAAAGTTGTTGCATACTTACATCCACCAACAGGGTTAATCTGGTGACTTGACTGGTACATATGGTTGCTGATGCCTATTCTAGGATTCCCAAAGGTATTAAGATTCAGGTCTCTCTTTTTGAGAAGATGGCCTACAGGATTTTAGTATAGTTCAATAGTCTTATACATTCTGAAATATAAATAATTACAATAACAACTTATTTGGGGTTTCTATTTTCCTTGTGAGACTCATATATCCATAATAATATTTATTGCGAATGACAGAAAAAAATAGAAAATGGGGAAGCTGTGTTTTCAGCTTAGCCTGGAGGATTAAACAAAGAGTTGAAAATTAACAGGCCCCCAAACCCAAGGTCTCTGGCAATGATTCACTGTGCATTTGTTAAAAAGTCGAATAATTACTCTTCCTCCATTAGGGAGTGCTAATTGTTTCTGAACACCAATATAACGGAGTTTAAGGAAATCGCTGACTACAAAAATAATTTTATCCCTTAAGTCCCACACAAATGAGAAATATTATTAGCATTTTAAGATAGCAAGCATCTTTTCTGGGATTGAAATTTTAGCACTACATATTAACCAAGACTGAGTTAGCTTCAAAAATTCATTTATTGTTCTGTCTCTTTTTGCAAAGATGAAAACTGTAGCAGATGCTTGGTTAACTCTTTTGAAGACAGCAGTTTGCCCACCAGTTATGACTGTATCATAACTTCCATTGGCTTCTTTAGGAATATTCAGAGAAAAAGGGGACCCTATTCTTTCTTCAAACAGAATAATAAAAATAGCTGTTAGGATTGTGTGGATATGCAGGACAGTGTAATGTTTCACAAGGACTATGAGATTAGAACTTCCCTGCTTCATTCCAGGTAACTGTTGTGATTATTTCTCATCTAATCTTTACTGTAAGCCTCAGTTTAAGTGATTAGTGGTGGAGACACTGGAGTTAAGTGGTTTAATGAAGTATCTTCAAACGACATGAATTTTAAGTTTTACAAGGTCATAAGGGAAGACTGTCTAATATTTATTGTTAATGCAGCAAGTAAAGAAAGGCATGGCTGATTCTGCCTTTGGACATAAGCAGAAACTTGATCCATGCCAGTGGAAGTGGTGTATTCTAAGGAACAAACCTGTGCCACAGCCACAGTGCCATTCAAGGACATGGGAGAGATTTTGAACTGTCTGGTCTCCATTATTTTCATTTGAAGGAATGGGTTCCAGATGATTGTGGGTGAATTCAGATCCAGGCCCTGATCTGAATCCAGGCATTACAAGAACAGATGCTTGATAGGATTCTTTTTAACAACAAACAGGGGCACCCCGCCCCCAAATGCTGGAATTCTAAGAAATTCTACAACTCACACAGCACTCCCAGAAGTTCTAACGTCACTGATTAATAGTCACAGTCAACACAGTCAACCTGCAGAAAAAATAGTAGTGGCTCATAATTTTGCTACTGATAACAAGGGCATCAAGGGTATTAACCCTGGCACTGCCCATGTGCAGGTACAGGCAACATCTGAGTATGACAAAAGGGCCACTGGTCACTTGAAAACCAATAGGAAATGATGTGAGCTACCAGTGGACTTACTACAGTTTGAAACAGTCAGTCTGGAATCATGTCTTTGATTTGGTTTTCACTGGCAGTTGAGAAGAGAGAGGCAAATGCAGTTTTTTTGTTCACATCTAGCTGTCAAAAGTGCAAATCAGGAAAAAAAACCCCAAAGCAGGAAAATGCTTCTTTTACATAATACTGAACTATGTGCTCAAGGTCACAGCAGAAATAAAGCAGGTGAGCCTGATTTCCAAATGTCCTCAAAGCCAGGGTAAGTCTACTCAGACGAGTGGATGATACTCAATCCTCTGTGCAGTGCAAACAGGAAAGGGAGTGAATAGGAACTTAATTTGTTGTAAAGACTGGGACACGGGCTACCACGACACTGGAGTTGTATATCAAAGAGAAGAGGCAAGGGAATGGATAAGCAGGGAATCCAGCAAAATGGAATTTGGTGAAGGTAGGGTAGGAAGGGAGATATGGTGTGAGGAACAACTGAATGCAAATACAAGTGGAGAGAGGAGGTGGAGATCAGCTGAAAGCAGAAGTTTTCCTTTGAAAAGGCTTGTAATCATGCAACTTATTCCCACAGTGTTTTATAAAGGGGAATACAGAAAGCCTTCACTGTAACTGCCTTAACTGAAAAGCCTGTCATTTGATTCTTGTTTGCAAGACAGAAAGTTTTAAAAGCACAGAAATGCAAGCCTGTGCAAAATCTGACACTTAAACATGATGTTTAATCTTCCTTTGTGATTTCAATTTTCTTTGTTAACACAGGCACTGCTCTGTCAACACGTACACAGATGGTAGGAAATTTGTAATAATATGTATGAGTTTTAAAATAAAGTAGTTAGTACAGAAATTCACACAGGACCAAGGGTTGCAGTCCTTATTAGGCACAGTTCTCACAGAGGACAGTGACGGAGCTGTATTTGACTGAGTAAAATGATCTTTTTTTTTTTTCCCTCCAAACAGTTCTACTGCTTAGGGGCACTTGTCAGGAACCATTCTTCTGGACACTGTACAAATGCTGAACAAAATGGCAAACTACACTAAAGACCTTACAATCTAAGCACGAGACAGAAGACATTAAATGGCTTCAAGCAGATAGGGAGTAGAAGCAAATGTTTTTCTAACTGCCTTCAGTGATTCTGTTAGTATGTTAAATTGAGCATATATAACGCATGCAAATTTTTTTCTTTTTTTTTTTTTTGTGAGTTACTATGGTTTTTATACAACAAAATAACAAAATTCCACTGTTAATACACAGGTGAAACTGTATTTACAGAGGTTACATTCCTTCCAGTGATGCAACATTTTTTTCAGTTTAATTCTAACCCCATTTTTTTACAAGCACTTGTAATGAAAAAGGAACATAAGCCTTATCCCTTCTTGGAACCTGCTGATGGGCTTGCTAAATAGCAAAAGGCAACTGCAGTGCAACATGTACTTAAGTGCATGATAAAATATTTCATAAGGAAGTGGGGTTAGTCTTACATATAAGAAAAGGCATTGCACTAGTCAAGTGAGTTTGCATCTGATTGTTATTTGAAAGGGACATATACTGAGTGAACATGATCACGATATGCTCTCAGCTTCCCTGACTAAAGAAACCATTCAAGCCAAGAGTAATTTGTCTATAGTAAATAGGAGATGGTATACTTGGAAAATTCTAGAAATTCTTAGTAATCGTACACCTCTAATTTGCTGTCGCCTCTTTTTGAATGACCCTCTGTGCCTAGAGAAATAAATTATTAAAGACAAAACTCTGTATTCTTAAGTCAAATAATTCAACAGCAAGATTTTAGATTACCTTTGATTTTGGCTTTATATCTACAAGCCTTGGAATAGTACTCTGTGATTATATCAGAGTTCCTCTTCCGTTGTTCCACTCGGAATTATATCTTCCATTTTCTCCAAATAACTACTATAAATTAAAACCAGCTCCTCAGAGATGAAATTTACTGAAGCTCCAAATCATGGTAATTAAACTTTTACACCACAAGACACTACCATGTGTTTCCAGATATAATTTTATAGAAACCAAAGGCAGGCTTTGTCATGTTATTTTTCCAATATTTTTAAAGGAAGATGTATATGAAAAGAAGTATAGTTGGGTGGGAAAGGCTTTCCACTCCACAAAAATTCTGGGATCTAAAAAATTTTCCTATTCCACATAAGGAAGAAATTGAACTCTTTCGAAATTTTCCATGAAGAAAGCCACAGAGAGACCACCCCAGGATAGCTAATAAAGTCGTTGTTAGGACATTTACTTGGGAAATGGGAGACTTAGGGTCAAACCCTTGCCTGACAGATGAGGGGCATTGACCTGAATATTCCTCCTCCTAATGAAACACCCTAATTACAAGACATTGGAGTATAGTGATATGAGGTTTGCTGTCTCTTTCTTTCTCATTTAGACCAGAAGTTTGAGTTCGGACCAGAAACATCATGTTAACTAAAATTTTGTCAAAACTGATAATGTTTCTGAAAAAGCTTCGCTTAAAAGAAACTGGCACCTTCCAGTGAAACACAGCTGTCCCTGATCAGCTCTTACTGTACATTGTAAGCCAGAGGTTTTATGGCCAAGACCTATGGATTACTGCATTATTCACAAGTGGTAAAGCCATGCATAAATTAGGCCTCTAATTCCAATTAAGTGCTAATTCTGTGTATCCTATGAGTTATGTCCTGGACCACAGTACATTGTAAGACAGTTGCCAATAATACAAAAAGGAATGAAGGCAACTTAAGACATATTATCTTCACGTTCTAATAACATAGCACATGTATAACTAGCCAGACTCTGTCTTCTTAGATTTAATACTCGTGCTTAAAAACTGGATACAAATTACTAGAAATAGGTTTGTGAACAGAAATAGATACTTTTAATGTCATTAAACATAGTGTAATAGCAGTAGTGGCAGGTTTTTTCCTCAAAGGCCCTCATTTTACCAACTCCTTCTTTATCTGGGCCTTTGAACTCCTTTCCATTTTAACCTAAAAGCTAAAGACCACTTTTCATCCAAGCCAGCTGCAGTGCAGCATGAGGCATATCCCCCTCCTGAGGATTTGGGGGCTGAGAAGCAACACCTCATGATAGGACACTGTGTTCACCCACTTCGATGCTGGGAGTCAACCAGAGGCCAGCTGCATGTCAACCCAGGGCAGTTTTCAGCAGCACTTCTGCCTTTCTGAGATTCACCTGACTGGTGATTATTCACCTCTCCAACCGATGCCCTTTGCTGGCAGCACTCCACGGTCTTTACTTCATGCCTTTTACCAAAGTCTCTACTGAGATTTTGACTACAGCAAGCCACTTAAAAAAAAAAAAAAAAGTTACATAGAAGCTACTCAAGCTATTTTACTGCAGATACTGCACTTGATTGATAGGTTAAAATCAGGGAGAAGTGTATCATAGCCTCAACTCTGAGTTTTGTCTCTTAATTTTTTAGTCAGTTGTGTCATTTTGAACGAATTGGTATTTTTACATAAGCACACTGAAATCAGGTTTAATACAAATACAGATGTAAACTGTAAAAGGTAATACTCAGTTTGTGTTTATTCAGAGCAGGCCTTTTTTTTTGCAGATAGTGCTTTGTTTAAAATGACCTCTTTTTCCACTGTAATCTATTTAAAGATGAGTTTGATGACACTAAACTGCAGACATGACTACACACTAAATATTTGTATGCTCTTTTGCATTTTTAAGGTTTTCTCCAAACTACAGCTGATGAGTTTTGCTATTACTATGCAAGAAAAGATGGTGGTGTGTGCTTTCCAGATTTTCCAAGAAAACAAGTGCGAGGGCCAGCCTCTAACTCCCTGGACCACATGGAAGAATATGACAAAGAGGAAGAGATCAACAGGTTCATAAAGATAAATGCTGTTTAATCTGAAAAAAAAAACAACAAAACAAACCCAAAACCTATCAAAGCTTGTGGTTTTCACAGTGAAACAGCTCAGTATGTCCTTATGCTCAGCAGCTGTGTTTTCCAGATGTTACTTTCTTTTGCTGCTGCTAGTGTACATCAAAAGAGAAAGTTACATTAACTCCAAAATTTCAGTACCATTTGATATTTGCCTTGCTGAAAAGGTGTTAGAATCCTGGTTTGATCCACCCTGTGGATCTTGGTTATCGTCCAGCCTGTGGATCATACATAGTTCTGGGAAGTAATTTCTACCTGAATGTAATATTACTTTACTTTATTGTAAACAACTACAATAATTTTATTAGTAAAATATTTATTTCATGATCTTCAATTTATTTCAATAATGTATTTTTCTTCATGAAAATAATGAAATTAGATTATCCCATTGTAAGTCATTATTTTTAAATGGGTTTTAGAAGCCAAATTTTGTCAAAGTGATGAAATTTAGTATGTTTATTTTATGGTAGAAATTCTGTGTTTCTAAATTATTCTCTTCTTTTACCAATTTTTTTTCTCTCCCATTCTTCTACATATTGGATGTAAGTTTATTTAATTTTCTCTTTCTTGCATACAGACCAAATTTTGCTCAAGTGGAATTCAAACTGATCCTCAGTATTATCTGCTTCCCTGCATTCAAGGAAGTAATTTATTCTGGATATGTGATTATATATTTAAATACATAAAACTGGTTTATAATATAAACTTTCTAGTATCACTGCAGAACAGAAATTTTATCTTTTAGGGACGTCGTTGTGTCACGGTTACGAAAAAGAAGAAAATCTCATGTTTTCTTTAAATTTCTTTAGAAAACACAAGCACAACTGCTTCTGTATTCAGGAGGTTGTGAGTGGACTAAGGCAGCCTGTTGGAGCAGTACATTGTGGGGATGGATCCCATCGCCTCTTCATTCTTGAGAAAGAAGGATATGTGAAGATTTTCACTCCCGAAGGAGACATACTCAAGGAACCTTTTTTGGATATACACAAGCTGGTTCAAAGTGGAATAAAGGTTAGATTTTATACTTATCTCTACCTTTTTATATTTTAGCATGTGTAAGGGGGAAAAGGGAAGAAACGTTTTTCAGAAATTATTTTAATTTAAATAATGAAGTAGAGTAATGACAAGAGACACTACAATTCTTCCTGGCAAGGAAGTGAAAACTTCCTTGTACCGGGAATGGAAAACATAGCATCTTATAACTCTTACCAAAGTTTTCTCTTTCCCTTCATCTTTTCCTCACTTTAAATTCAAATGCAACTAGTCAGCAACAGCATTCCACAGCATTATCTTTGTATTTTCATCCTTTGGGCTCCTTTCCATCCTATTGAATTCAGCCAGGTTTTGCTGTGATGCCAGTGGGAGCAAGTTTGGATTAGGGCCCCCCCCGACCTGCGGGTGCTCAACATTCCCATGGGAGCCACGGGACACAGGAGGGGGCCTGGGAGTGCTCAGGGATCCCAGGGAGAGGGGATCTCTCTTGGCTCAACCTCAAATGCAGCACAAGCTGCCCTTGGTGGGAAGCTGCTTTAAAACTGCACATATTTGAGGTGCACATAAAAAGCAACTGAGCCTCTAAATTCAGACAGGAGGGAGGGTTGGTGCAACAGCTTTCATCCTGTTTAATGGGGAGATTTTCATGGTCAGAGGAGTGAGAGGTGAATGGGCACTGATGGGAATATGTTGGAGGGTGGACATAAGAAATAACATCTAGTTATGGGGTAAGTACCAATGGAAAACTCCTAAGTCTATTGGGGGGTATTTTACTCTGGAAATGCGGTTGAGTGTTGTTCCATGTTGATTTCTTGTCACAGTTTAGAGTGGTGATGCAAGTAAAACCCAGATATATCAAGAAAATTTAAATTGTAATCAGGTTATGCCTAGAACAGTGAAAACTATATAACAAAAAGCTTTCATGGATGAAAGATGTATTGACACACTCTTGACAGAGTAATCTTAAATAACAAACTATATCAATTTAAAGTGCATAGGACATGCTAACTGATAATTTTGTGTTTCAGCTATAAGGGCAATATGCAAATTAAGACAGTCTTTTCTGCAAGAAAGGGTTTTAGTTTGTGTTGAAAGAGTAAGAAATGAAATATATTGCACCTTTTTCAGGAAAAGAACCAATTTATATGATTCTGTGATTTGCTGAATGCTTCCCTTTCTGCCCCTGTAGGTAAGGTATCAAAACAGAAGGGACTTATCAGGGGTGTTTTTGAACATCCATCTAAAGTTGTTTCATATTTCTGAACCAAACGTTCTGATAACTTGTACTTGTGAAAAACTGACAGCGAAATTCCCACAGAACTGCTATTGGTCCAAAACAAACCTTTCTTGAGGAAACTTTTATAGCTGCAACTTAGAGACAAGGCTAAAAGAAAAACTGATTTTCCGTGATTCTGAATAGGCAATAACCTGCTTGATATGACTCTCAACAGGTACCCTCAGGATCAAATTCAACTTTTAGTTCTGTTTTAAATCAGTGACCTGATCTTTTTAGTCTTTAATACCTTAACCATCATTTAATGCTCTAAACTGGATCTGTTTCAACTATAATATTTTGTGTAAATAATTTGATGTTTCTAAACTAGGAAGTCTAATTCAATTCCCTGAGATAACAGTCCAGTGACAGAGGATAATTGTATTGCAATGTTTAATGCAGGCTGGCAAGAACAGAGGCTTTATATACTTTGCAGGTAAGGAGGAAGGGAATGTGCCTAGAAGCAAGACTCCAGCTCTTAAATAGAAAGAGTAAAGAATTTGAGGAATGAGTACATTATATAAAATAATAAATAAATAGAATAAAACAAACCCCACGTAATCCAAATGGTAGTTTTAAAACAAGGGTTCTTATAACATTTTTGTGTTTATCCCCTGCAGTCTGATTCCTACAATCATTGTCCATGGTCCCTTACCTACAAGAATGGGAGATTGCTGTGACAATGGTAGCAATTGTCTACTTGACAGACTACTTGAAGGGTATTTGGTTTTGCTTACCTGTTGTAGGCTTTAAAACTAGAAATCAGTGATGGAGAATACTGTGTGGATAGATGGTTTTCCAGCAGACAGTGCAGAAAGTGTACAGTCAGCAATGAAAAAAACCCCAGCAAACCAGTATCTAAACCACTGCATCCACACACAAAGTGCAAGGGTCACTGAATGTGTGCTCTGGGCTTACTCGAGAAAAGTGTGTAGTGCCAGAATTTTGACTGTATGTATTTTGCACATTGTGTCTGATTCTTCCCATATACTGGTGTAGTAGAAGACGTAAAATGGAATCAATGAATTTTTGGTTGTCCCTGATCAAACTTAGGCCAATGTATTCCAGTGAAGTGCTTTGCTGAGGTAACTCATTGCCTTTTTTGAGTCCTCTATTCATTTACACATATTCATAGATGTTAACCCAAATATCCAGTCTATTCCATGCTGTGGAAAGGGACCTGGGGGTCCTGGTCGATGGCAAGTTGAATATGAGTGCCCTGGCAGTGCCCTGGCAGCCAGGAGGGCCAACTGTGTCCTGGGGGCATCAGGTAAAGCATCACCAGCTGGGGGAGGGAGGGGATTGTCCCACTGTGCTCTGCACTGGGACGGCCTCACATTGAAAGTTGTGGCAGTTTTGGGCACCACAATGTAAGACAGATATAAAGTTATTAGAGGGTGTCCAAAGAAGGGCCATGAGGATGGTGAAGGGCCTTGAGGGGAAGCTGTGTGAGGAGCGGCTGAGGGCACGTGGTCTGTTCAGCCTGGAGGAGACTGAGGGGAGACCTCACTGCAGTTACAGCTTCCTCATGAGAGGAAGAGGAGAGGCAGGCACTGATCTCTTCTCCGTGGTGACCAGGGACAGGACCGGAGGGAATGGCCTGAAATTGTGTCAGAGGAGGTTTAGCTTGGATATCAGGGAAAGGTTCTTCCTCCAGCGGGTGGTTGGGCACTGGAACAGGCTCCCCAGGGAAGTGGTCACAGCTCCAAGGCTGACAGAGTTCAAGAAGTGTTCGGACGATACTCTTGGTCACAAGGTGTGACTCTTAGGGCTGTTCTGTGCAGGGCCAGGAGCTGGACTTTGATGATCCCTGTGAGTCCCTTCCAGTTCAGGATATTCTGTGATTCCGTGATTCTATGATAACATTATGCATATAATTTTATTCTTTAATTAACTTAGAGACTCTTCATTGAAGTAAGCAAAAACCATTCACCTCTTTTCCAGTCTTGGAGCAATGATAGTAACAAAGGGCAAACAATTCTTTTTCCCTAAAAAAAAAAAGTAAAAATTTTCCCTCTTATACATAAGTGTCTGAATATAGCAGTTTCTGTTATTTTTTTTTTGTCTCTATCTGCAATACAAACAAGTACTTAACTCTAGTGGCAGTAAAAAGAATACAAATGTTTTTTCAAACTTTTAGGTATATATATTGTATCCAGTAAATAATTAAAACGATGATGATGATGATGGTGATGATGATGATGATGATGATGATGATGATAACAATGCATCTGTGGTTGAATGAAAGGTAATTTAAGTTGATGCCTCTGAAAAGCATTTTGGACAGCTATCCCTATAAGATGTTTTTTTATGTTGATAGGTGGAATAAAATAGTGGCAGCTGATTCTCTCTCCTTTTTCTAACATGAAGAGGAAATTTAGCAGTGATAAAATCATTATATTGTCACAAAGCAGCGAATCTGTTACATGATGATTTTCCAAAGAATCTTGAGGCTCTGATATAACCAAGAAACTGAAGTGACATATTTCCTTCATAAAAATAATCCTGGAGTTTAGTTCTGATCTCACTAGCATATTTCACTCATCACAGCACTGGCAGTCAGATAAGTAGGAAAACAATATACAAAAACAGAGGAAGAGAGGTGACAGCATTGCATAGCAATGTCATGTTTCCCTCCTAAAAAGATGCCATTTTGTTTCTTTAATGGAACTAATGGTTCCTGTGTTGATGAAGTTCGTTTGGAGCCCCTGACATTGTTTTGAGCAAGTTTGTAGGGCTTCCTCACTGGTCCTGCACATAAATAGGATTGTCTGGAGTTGCTTCTTGTCAGTCACTCCTGTGAAGGTCTGTGGATATAAGTAGAAACTAAGTAAGAAGAGTGGTACAACCTGATGTGTAACTTTTATTGGTCCATTGGCTTTTAATATTCATTGAAGTCATTGAGGTCTCTGCTTGAAAATTGTTACTGCAGTGAAATTACTGACAGTGACTTGATTTAATTTTAAGGAGTTCAAATGAAAGAGAAGAAGTGATAATTTTGTCTGCTGCCAGTATCTCAGGAGGAATTAGAAGAAGCATGTAGAAGTATTTCATAATAGAGATAGATTCTATGAACAGATGATGATTACTTGTGCTTCTTGGTGGCTCTACTCAAGAGAAAATTAGATGCAAGATTACTGCAGATTTAAAAAAAAAAAAAGAAAAACAGCTTAAGAAACAATTCTTCTTTGCACATCTCCCAAATTCTAAAACTCTTTCACAGCACAGTTATCAGGAATGTTTTTCTGGTCTTCTACTTTTCAACTTAGTTATTGGAAGCCATGAATGGATCTAACTGATGAATTCACTAATTCAACATCTGTGGCCTTCTCCAATGCCTTTTATGTCACACTGGCTACATAAGTATTGTGGTATGTGTGGATGCATTGGGCACTTGGCCAGGTCTCTCCTGTTACCCCTCAGCCTTTTCTTTCCCATGTCCAGAACACGGTGACAAGAAGCTGCCTCAGTCTTGCCTCCTCAAAGCTGAGTAAGGACATGAGTGAGACATGCACCTGTAACTCAAATCTAGGTCATGCACCTGGGTTCAACTATTTAGGAATATATAGCCCAGTGTAGTGGAGAAAATACTGATTCCACCACTCAATATGATATTAATGTGTCCATTAATATTGCAAACTACCCTGAGTATGTGTTATGTATTCAGAAGAAAAGAATAAACTATTTACTAAAAAACCCCAAACCTAAAAATCTGCTTCCCTGTTCTGCTGATTTACTGCTCCAT